AGTTGGACAGAAACATGCATGCTCTAATGGCCGCTAGAGGACGCAACACGACTACTAACTGCTTTATATAATACCATGAACTGCAGATAGGAATTTATTTAAATATATCTAACAATAAATTTTAATAAACTGCAGATAGGATTTTTAAAAAATATATCTAACAATACATTTTAATAATTGAATAATTTGTATAACAATCATATTTCTAATTGTTTTTATAATTTTATAAAATATAATCACAATATTATAAAATAACAAAATGTGTATGTAATGTTTTAATATATCAGATTGTTTATATTAATCATGTTATGCATTGTATTATTAAAAATGTATAATATATAAATAATACATTTAATATAATAATAATAATAATAATAGTGTATATCAAAATAATACATGTATATATTTAATTTTTTATGAAATTATTTAAAATATGTATATTTTATGAATGCTCTTATATTTACAGTGAAACTACAGTATTTCTGAACTCTGAGCTGTGAAGCGCAACTGCGCGTGCGCTCGTGTTCTCACGCTCGGATCAGTCAGAGTTAAACTGGAGTCTCGTCTGTCCACGCTGAGCGGCTTCACTATGAACACACATGTTATTTACTAACAGCCTGTGCAGCGCAGAGCGTCTGTTTTCAAAGGTAAACCATTTATTTGGGTTATAATGCTGTTTTATTGCCGCTCAGTTTGATGAGAGTGTCTTTTATCGGCCGGTATTGTACTACTGTCGCATCCGTGTATGAAAACAACTCAGATGAAAGTCTATTGATCTTACTGAAGTCTGATAAAGCCTTGCTTTTGGAGTGTTTATTTTGTCTAGACGCTAGAATAACTGACAGTCTTGTTTTTAAATATAGCCGGTTTACAACTAAAAGTTGCGTGTAAATACACTTTATGTGACTTTAGTTGCAACACATGTGAAGGCGATTGATGTTGCCGTTGGAGTCTTTTATCATTTATATTTACATCAAGAGCTCAAATAATGCTGCATTATGTATCTAAACTGAATTGTATCAGTCATATGTGTCTGTCTGAGAACTCTTGCATGTAAATAAATCCATCCCGGATCACGTTCAGCTTCCCAAATGAACATTTTGCCATGATGACTACTTTATTTAAATGTATTAATATTTAATATGTGAAAAGGGACTTATTTTCAGAATGGAAATGAGAAGGTAAATAGTGCTTTAGTTTCAGTGCACTACGCCATTTGCTGGTAGTTCCCATGAGACATGAGTTTCGTGTTGAAACCTTGAACTTCAGAAGGACATGATGCATTGTGGTCACCAGCCTACTTCCTTACCTTCTTTCAGGGCGCAAGGTGTGGCCCACGCCGGTTTCCACTTGAGTCTGCCGCTCTTGTGTTTAGCTACCTAATATCAAACACTTCACCGTGTCCTCAAATCCTCATATTGCATTCAAGGTGTTGCCAGAAGTCACTGGATTAGATGTTCTTTATGCATTGTACTAAAATAAATTCACCAGAGGAAGTGGTCCAGCGGAAACCATGTGTTTCTGTTTCTGAAACCCTCCAGTGAGAACTAATGAACCGCAGTCACACTGACATGTGCGGCCTGCTGCACATATGTGTAACCTCAGAAAGAGGATAATTGTGTCTGAGACACTTTGAGATGAGCCTTACATCATTACATTTTGCTTGTCATAATGTTGGAGGGTTAAGTGAAGCGTTATGGCCGCTGAAAGTTGAACTGTGACATTTGAGCATGTTTTGCAGACTGCTGATTTGTGTTGCGTGTATGCAATACTCTATTAGATCATCTGGGAAGAAAGTAACATGTTGTAGCCTGTCATCTAATAGGTTATGGGTTCTCTCTCTCTCTTTTTGTTGCTTCTAGAAATACTGTAGTTTAAAAGTGTTGTGAGTCACTCTCTTTGCACAGGCAGCTGGAAATGAGCTGTCATCACCAAAAATTCATATCTGGCTCATTTTCGACCTTTTAAAGTTTGGTGGACAGCTCTGCAAAATGGTTAGCGTTCCTCTTTAGTTCTGTAAAGTTGTTGTTGGTCTTCTATTTTTCATTATGGTGGATCTGATGAAAAGTTTGTGACATTAAGATGACAAACGTTCCAGACGCTCTTGAATTCTTCACACCTCGCACCTTTCCTTTGGTGTCCAGAGTTGAACTCAGAGTTGAAAAGGCCACTTGAGATTTCCCTGTTGAAGAGTCGGGGGGGAAGATAGGCTGAGCTATTTTAACTAGGGCTGCACGATAAATCGCATGCATATTTAACGCGCATCTTGTCAGTAAAGTCGGTTCTGTAATCAGCGGTAAATCTCCATCACCTGCGGGCTTTCACATGGAGCAGCATTAACTACACAGAGCCGTTGTTCACTGACAAGCTGCGCAAAACCACGATCATATTTTGCGCATGTTTTGCGCAGCTTGTCGGTGAACAACGGCTCTGTGTAGTTAAATATCGCATGCGATTTATCGTGCAGCCCTAATTTTAACAGAACATTGCTATTGTTGTTGATTTGTTAGACTTGGGCAACACATAATGAACAGTTTTTCATTGTGTATAAGCACCAGGCTTAGCCTGATCATCAATCAAAATAATAATAATATTAATAATAATAATAAAAAATAAAAAAATTATAATAATAATTAATACAATACAATATATATGTATGCCCACACATATGCATACACATGTGTACACACACTTACCCAGAAAGATACCTCATGATAATACCTCAATTAAGAATTTGGTTTAAAACAGTCACCGCCAATGGTACAAATGATCTTTTATATAGGTTCTTTTTAGCCAGCGGTATACGCAGCCTGCGCCCTGATTTCCTGAATTCCTTGGAAAAAATGCTCGCAGTGCACGCCGATTGCCCCCTCGGAGGCATCGCGTGCGTGCTCTTCGCCCAAACAAATAATGCATAGATCGTGTGTGTCATCAGATGTTAAACAACGTCAACACGGATGCACACATTCTTAAACGCTTTGCTAGTTCTCGCCATAATGAGATGAATAGAGATCGCTCTTACCACAGAAATGCACGCTTCAAACAAAACAGTCAATGAAGACGAAGAAGAGAATGATGTGTGCTCCCGGCGCCTATTTATACTATAGTCGCACCGGTAGTGACGTCATGGCTGTCGCCAGCCAACGAGTTGGTGTTTTTTCAATGTATGCTTCAGACACGGGTCACGCCGAGGCATTCCCCATAGCGACCCCTAGAGGACGCAGTTCGAAGTTCCCATAAAAGGGAATTGAAGTGTTTTCAAGTATTTGGGGGGTGGGGGGTGGCTTAGTTTTGTCCTGTCCATTAAGTCCTAAACATTGCAATTTAAATTTAAAGGAATAATCAAAAATGAAGAGTTGCAGAAAATATACTCAGACCATCAAGGATATTAGATAAGTATGTTTCTTCATCAGAACAGATTTGGAGAAATGTAGCATTGCATCACTTGCTCAGCAATGGATGCTCTGCAGTGAATGGGTGCCGTCAGAATGAGAGTCCAAACAGCTGATAAAAACATTACAATAATCCACAAGTATCCATAATCCTACATTCATAATAACGCTTCTTCGTATTCTGATGGCACCCATTCACCCTTTCAATTTCTACAAATCTGATGAAGAAACAAACTCATCTATACATCTTGGATGGCCAGAGTAAATTTTCAGCAATTTTATTTATTTTTGGGTGAACCATTCCTCTAAGTAGTTTTTGTTTGTTTGTTTGTTTGTTTATTTGTTTTTCGTATTTTTTTTAATCACTACTCAATTGATATCTAAATAAAATGACACCTGCCTTTCAGAGGTATGATGAGGTTACTGTTGCAAGAGTAGTTTCCTCATTAAATAATGAATAATGACAGTTCTTCAGCCAGAAAATTAGTCAACGTAGACGTTCTATGCAAGCCATTTCACCTGAAGACATTTGTGCGCTATGTAAAAGGATTGTAAGCTTTCAGTAGATGGATTTCCAAAATCAAAGTAAACATTTTTTTTAAATAAATATTTTTTATAAAGTAAAACATTAAGCTGCCTTTAGATGTAGTTTGATAAAAGCCTGTTTATTATTACTTTTATTTACTTTTTATTATTACTTTCACTACCAAATTACAGACAAGGACACAAATCTGCAAGTCTGGTTTCTAAACCATTGTTCTCAGCATGGTTGTTGATAGTCGTTTGAAACCCTCCTGTGGTGAAACATGGAACAACAATACAAATATGTCTTGTCTGTCCGAAAACATATTGCATTCATTTTTTTTCCTCAAGCAATTCCCACAACATACATTTTTAATTAAATTTTAATATTTAATGTTGCATTATATATTAAACTGGTGCTTAGCATTTTTTTTTTTTTTTTTTCAGAAAAGACGAATATAAAACTAACAAACAATCAACTGCTAAGCAGCAAATCACAAAAAGGAATAGATATGCCATGCATTAATATTAAACCTACATAACCTGATATTTATTTCAGAAGATAGTTGGACAGAAACATGCATGCTCTAATGGCCGCTAGAGGACGCAACACGACTACTAACTGCTTTATATAATACCATGAACTGCAGATAGGAATTTATTTAAATATATCTAACAATAAATTTTAATAAACTGCAGATAGGATTTTTAAAAAATATATCTAACAATACATTTTAATAATTGAATAATTTGTATAACAATCATATTTCTAATTGTTTTTATAATTTTATAAAATATAATCACAATATTATAAAATAACAAAATGTGTATGTAATGTTTTAATATATCAGATTGTTTATATTAATCATGTTATGCATTGTATTATTAAAAATGTATAATATATAAATAATACATTTAATATAATAATAATAATAATAATAGTGTATATCAAAATAATACATGTATATATTTAATTTTTTATGAAATTATTTAAAATATGTATATTTTATGAATGCTCTTATATTTACAGTGAAACTACAGTATTTCTGAACTCTGAGCTGTGAAGCGCAACTGCGCGTGCGCTCGTGTTCTCACGCTCGGATCAGTCAGAGTTAAACTGGAGTCTCGTCTGTCCACGCTGAGCGGCTTCACTATGAACACACATGTTATTTACTAACAGCCTGTGCAGCGCAGAGCGTCTGTTTTCAAAGGTAAACCATTTATTTGGGTTATAATGCTGTTTTATTGCCGCTCAGTTTGATGAGAGTGTCTTTTATCGGCCGGTATTGTACTACTGTCGCATCCGTGTATGAAAACAACTCAGATGAAAGTCTATTGATCTTACTGAAGTCTGATAAAGCCTTGCTTTTGGAGTGTTTATTTTGTCTAGACGCTAGAATAACTGACAGTCTTGTTTTTAAATATAGCCGGTTTACAACTAAAAGTTGCGTGTAAATACACTTTATGTGACTTTAGTTGCAACACATGTGAAGGCGATTGATGTTGCCGTTGGAGTCTTTTATCATTTATATTTACATCAAGAGCTCAAATAATGCTGCATTATGTATCTAAACTGAATTGTATCAGTCATATGTGTCTGTCTGAGAACTCTTGCATGTAAATAAATCCATCCCGGATCACGTTCAGCTTCCCAAATGAACATTTTGCCATGATGACTACTTTATTTAAATGTATTAATATTTAATATGTGAAAAGGGACTTATTTTCAGAATGGAAATGAGAAGGTAAATAGTGCTTTAGTTTCAGTGCACTACGCCATTTGCTGGTAGTTCCCATGAGACATGAGTTTCGTGTTGAAACCTTGAACTTCAGAAGGACATGATGCATTGTGGTCACCAGCCTACTTCCTTACCTTCTTTCAGGGCGCAAGGTGTGGCCCACGCCGGTTTCCACTTGAGTCTGCCGCTCTCAGATGAAAGTCTATTGATCTTACTGAAGTCTGATAAAGCCTTGCTTTTGGAGTGTTTATTTTGTCTAGACGCTAGAATAACTGACAGTCTTGTTTTTAAATATAGCCGGTTTACAACTAAAAGTTGCGTGTAAATACACTTTATGTGACTTTAGTTGCAACACATGTGAAGGCGATTGATGTTGCCGTTGGAGTCTTTTATCATTTATATTTACATCAAGAGCTCAAATAATGCTGCATTATGTATCTAAACTGAATTGTATCAGTCATATGTGTCTGTCTGAGAACTCTTGCATGTAAATAAATCCATCCCGGATCACGTTCAGCTTCCCAAATGAACATTTTGCCATGATGACTACTTTATTTAAATGTATTAATATTTAATATGTGAAAAGGGACTTATTTTCAGAATGGAAATGAGAAGGTAAATAGTGCTTTAGTTTCAGTGCACTACGCCATTTGCTGGTAGTTCCCATGAGACATGAGTTTCGTGTTGAAACCTTGAACTTCAGAAGGACATGATGCATTGTGGTCACCAGCCTACTTCCTTACCTTCTTTCAGGGCGCAAGGTGTGGCCCACGCCGGTTTCCACTTGAGTCTGCCGCTCTTGTGTTTAGCTACCTAATATCAAACACTTCACCGTGTCCTCAAATCCTCATATTGCATTCAAGGTGTTGCCAGAAGTCACTGGATTAGATGTTCTTTATGCATTGTACTAAAATAAATTCACCAGAGGAAGTGGTCCAGCGGAAACCATGTGTTTCTGTTTCTGAAACCCTCCAGTGAGAACTAATGAACCGCAGTCACACTGACATGTGCGGCCTGCTGCACATATGTGTAACCTCAGAAAGAGGATAATTGTGTCTGAGACACTTTGAGATGAGCCTTACATCATTACATTTTGCTTGTCATAATGTTGGAGGGTTAAGTGAAGCGTTATGGCCGCTGAAAGTTGAACTGTGACATTTGAGCATGTTTTGCAGACTGCTGATTTGTGTTGCGTGTATGCAATACTCTATTAGATCATCTGGGAAGAAAGTAACATGTTGTAGCCTGTCATCTAATAGGTTATGGGTTCTCTCTCTCTCTTTTTGTTGCTTCTAGAAATACTGTAGTTTAAAAGTGTTGTGAGTCACTCTCTTTGCACAGGCAGCTGGAAATGAGCTGTCATCACCAAAAATTCATATCTGGCTCATTTTCGACCTTTTAAAGTTTGGTGGACAGCTCTGCAAAATGGTTAGCGTTCCTCTTTAGTTCTGTAAAGTTGTTGTTGGTCTTCTATTTTTCATTATGGTGGATCTGATGAAAAGTTTGTGACATTAAGATGACAAACGTTCCAGACGCTCTTGAATTCTTCACACCTCGCACCTTTCCTTTGGTGTCCAGAGTTGAACTCAGAGTTGAAAAGGCCACTTGAGATTTCCCTGTTGAAGAGTCGGGGGGGAAGATAGGCTGAGCTATTTTAACTAGGGCTGCACGATAAATCGCATGCATATTTAACGCGCATCTTGTCAGTAAAGTCGGTTCTGTAATCAGCGGTAAATCTCCATCACCTGCGGGCTTTCACATGGAGCAGCATTAACTACACAGAGCCGTTGTTCACTGACAAGCTGCGCAAAACCACGATCATATTTTGCGCATGTTTTGCGCAGCTTGTCGGTGAACAACGGCTCTGTGTAGTTAAATATCGCATGCGATTTATCGTGCAGCCCTAATTTTAACAGAACATTGCTATTGTTGTTGATTTGTTAGACTTGGGCAACACATAATGAACAGTTTTTCATTGTGTATAAGCACCAGGCTTAGCCTGATCATCAATCAAAATAATAATAATATTAATAATAATAATAAAAAATAAAAAAATTATAATAATAATTAATACAATACAATATATATGTATGCCCACACATATGCATACACATGTGTACACACACTTACCCAGAAAGATACCTCATGATAATACCTCAATTAAGAATTTGGTTTAAAACAGTCACCGCCAATGGTACAAATGATCTTTTATATAGGTTCTTTTTAGCCAGCGGTATACGCAGCCTGCGCCCTGATTTCCTGAATTTTATTTTAGCTGTATTTGATTTTATATTTAATGAAAATAATTGTAATATTTTTTGTACTTAATGCTTTTGTCCATTTTTTTTACTTTTCTACCTAGCTTTCATTTTTATTTTTTTCAGTATAATTTCTTATGCATTTATTTCAGTATTTTGTCATTTTAGTACTTTAATTTAAACTTATTTTATTTCAGTTAATTGCAAAGACAATGTTTTAAATTTTCAAAATGTTCAAGTTTAAGCTTTTCTATCTAATTATTATATTTTATTTCAGTTTTATTTCAATTAATGAAAATTATTTTTAATAGTTTTTGTTTTAGTAATTGATGTGCTTTTGTCATTTTTATTCATTTTTGATGTGTTTTAATATTTCTATTTTAGCTTTATTTTATACTTATTACTGCTTAGGAAACTAACTGAAATAAATTAAATATAAATATCAAATAAATACGATTTAAATATAACTTCAGTTTTTTATTTAAATTAATTTTGTTTTACATATTTTGCGCATGTTTTGCGCAGCTTGTCGGTGAACAACGGCTCTGTGTAGTTAAATATCGCATGCGATTTATCGTGCAGCCCTAATTTTAACAGAACATTGCTATTGTTGTTGATTTGTTAGACTTGGGCAACACATAATGAACAGTTTTTCATTGTGTATAAGCACCAGGCTTAGCCTGATCATCAATCAAAATAATAATAATATTAATAATAATAATAAAAAATAAAAAAATTATAATAATAATTAGCCTGATCATCAATCAAAATAATAATAATATTAATAATAATAATAAAAAAAAATAATAATAAAAGTCAGATGGATTGTTATAGTTCACCCCAAAAAAATGATAACACAAATGAAGACATTTTTTAATGAAACCTAAGACATTTCTCCTCCACTGAACGTTATATGAACTTTTCGAAGCATTAACATTTTGGTATAATGGATAGATAGAACTCTCTCAGGTTTCATTAAAAATACATTAATTTGTGAGGATGAATAAAACTCTTATGGGTTTGGAACAACAATGGTGAGTAAATAATGACAGAATTTTTGTTCCAATTTTCATAGCTCTTCCAATTAGAAAAAACAAACAAACTGGAAGCACTATAAAAATATAAATAAAATATACTATATTAATATAAGAAAATATTATTCTTAATTCCTTTTTCCTGTGATTAATTACTCTCGGTTACTCTAAGTTAGGCTTATGCACATAAGTTTAAGATATTGGCATATGGACTTTAGGTTGTGACATTATGTGTTTAATTATTAAATCCACTTGTTTGTTTCCCAGGGATATATCATAGTGTGTATCACATGCTAAACTAATAGTCCAGACTTGTTCTCTGCACAGTTTGAGAAGATCCATGGAATACAGTAAATGAGATCTTGCAAAACCCCTATTTATTTATTTATTTATGTTAATTTATTGGTTGTTTGACTCTTGGGTTTCGGTGAGATTCTGCAGCTTGGTTGCGTAACTTCAAATTACGTGGTCAGTCCATGGAAAGTCCGAGCCTGATGTGAAACTGATGTGGCTAAACTTCACTTTTGTACACAATTTATTGAATATAACCTACATGGGAAAGTTCAAGTATTTCTTGAAGTCATTCTCAAAACGAACCCAAAGCTGTCCATGAAAGGTGAATATTCACACTTCCATGTAAACTGTAGTGCATCTCTGCTATGTGTATTGCTCTTGCTGCATGTCTGCATATTGGCTACTGCCAGTAAAACCTGCTGTATTGAGCACAGATCAGTGTTAAGGATCTTTCCCCATCAGCACCTTTTCATTGCCCTCCTGCCGCTGACCTGTGATTGATTGTATTCACAAAGGAAACGCTCCTGCTGTGCAAACAACAGCCTGGTGGTGGTGACACACCTATGCCTTTGGCTGAACATCACATGGTATTTTCAACAGGATCCAACTGTGGATTTAGAGCTTGCATTTAGTTTAAAGGAGTGATGTATGATGACATTTTGTAGTGGTGTAAATAAAAATAAAAATTCCAGTATGCTGTTGTCAAAATGGGTAAAAACCATTTTCGAAAAGTTGAAATTGTTTACATTAACAAAACAGTTTAGTTTCACTTAGACCTTAGATCTTTAGCATCTCACATAATTGCACTTAAATTGTGCCACTGGTTTTGTCTGAAACCTCAAAGAAGAATGGCTGCATCACAGCAGACTTATAATTGAAAGCATGCGGTTATTTGTTAAGATCTGTGGGTGACTTCTGTCTCTTTAGTTTCATGAGAAATTTGAAACACAGCTTTGGCTTTGCTTGGACAGTGATAAACCTGTTTGATCAGCCTTGAAGCTGGTTTATTTTGTTAAGCCTAAAGAAAAATGTTTCATGGTTTTAAGTAACCATTTATTGCACAAGGATGGACGGTAGTCCTAGTGGCCCACATTTTTGATCCCATGATTTCTGTCAAGCCATTAAGTTCCCCGACTCATAGACGAGACTCACTGTGGTAAATAAATTATGCTTGCATCTCTTGCTAGCTGTGACCTGTTTTCTCTGGTCAGCTTATAGGAGACTTAATGCTTCTCAGAGAAGCCTTTCCCTACAGCAGTAACAGAAATCAAGGTGTTTTAGCACAAGATCAAGTCTTATGCCTGTGATCTGTTCATTGTGGCTCATTTGACTTCTCAAGAGGTTGATGATTACGTGCAGAAAGAATTTGGATAGTGCTGTTTCATTATTTAATCACCTAGCCTACATGTTGAAAATCTGTACTGCGTATGACTCTATTTCTTCCGTGGAACACAAATGAAGAAATGCTGAATAATGTAGGCTAACGCCAATGTTTTACATATAATGAAAGTGAAAGGGGATGTGGGCTGTTTATTTGTATATTATTTAGTATTTCACAGAAAACATCCTGCTAACATATTAAGAAGTTTAAAATACTATCAGGAAAAACAAATGTAAAAATTGTACCTTTATGGGTACATAATCTTGTTTTTTGCACATTCTCTACCCCTAAAGGTGCACATTAGTACCTTAAAGTAGGAGGCTAATATGTACCCTTAATGTATACATTGGGGTAAATAAGGTAAAAAGTTATCCCTTTGAGGGCACTGCCCCAGTGACAAGCCGTTGTACCCCTAAAGGTACAATTTTAGCCCTTTTTTTTTTTCCCGAGAGTGAAGGGAAGTTTGAAAGGGAAATTTGGGTTTCCATTTATACGATCTGAATGGGACAGGTGGTTAAACAGAGAAAGGTGCCCATGTGTCTCAGCAGAGCAGTTGTCTGGTGAACTGTAGACTCTAAGAGTCCCACCTGTCCACAGAGAATGTGAACTAACAGACCTCGACAGTTTTCAACACATGGTGGCAAGTATCAGCTGTGGAAGTCCTGCTCTGTCCATTTCTGATTCCATTGTGTCGCCACAGAGGTTCATAGGACCAAGTAACATTTCCTTCATAGTTAATTTGATTCCTCAAACAAAAGGCAACAAAATGAGAGAAGTGTTTACGTTTTCTTTCTAGAATCTAATTGGTCTAACTTTTGAGTCACACTTTTGAGTTGCATTTTTATTCAAATTGACTTACAGACAATTTATTAATGGTTCATTCACCCTGAAATAACCAGATTATATTTCACAGTGGGGCTAGTTATTACCAGCACAGAACCAAAAATTTGGTAATACTTTAGTAGGGACCTATTCTCACTATTAACTAGTTGCTTATTAGCATGCCTATTATTAAAGGGTTAGCTCACCCCAAAATGAAAAATTATGCCATTAATTACTCACCCTCATGTCGTTCCAAACCCGTAAGACCTTCGTTCATCTTCGGAACACAAATTAAGATATTTTTGATGGAATCTGAGAGCTCTCTGACCCTCCCATAGACAGCAACGCAACTGAAATGTTCCCAGGTCCAGAAACGCAGTAAGGACATCGGTAAAACAGGCTCAACTTCAATTTTGCGAAGCTACGAGAATACCTTTTGTGCGCAAAGAAAACAAAACTGACGACTTTATTCAACAATTCTTCTCCCCCGAGTTACTGTCTTCCGCCATTTTGGAGAGTATCACAACGCATACGCACGCTTTACCCTAAGCGTAAACAACACTGATTACACTGATTACGTTCTTGGGTACTCTCCAAAATGGCAGACGACGTAACTCGGGGGAGAAGAATTGTTAAATTATGTAATTTTTGTTTTCTTTGCGCATAAAAAGTATTCTCATAGCTTCGCAAAATTGAAGTTGAGCCACTGATGTCACATGGATTGTTTTACCGATGTCCTTATTACGTTTCTGTCAGGGAACATTTCAGTTGCGTTTCTGTATATGCAGGGTCAGAGAGCTCTCAGATTCCATCAAAAATATCTTAATTTGTGTTCTGAAGATGAACGGAGGTCTTATGGGTTTTGAACAACATGAGGGTGAGTAATTAATGACAGAATTTTTCATTTTGGGGTGAACTAGCCCTTTAACATATTGGCTGTTTATTAGTACTTATAAAGCACATATTCTGCATGACCATATTCTACATCCCTAATTCTACCCAATACCTAAACTTAATAACTATTACCGTATTGGCCCGAATATAAGACGACCCTGATTATAAGACGACCCCCCTTTTTCCAGATGTACCTTTTGGAAAAAGGCTTTTTAAAAACCAAATCTTGTTTTTTCTCAGTAAAACACATTTTGTCTTCAATTATTTTCATATTGCATATTTTTCCTATTTTAATTTTTGTTTTGAAAGTATGGTAAAAACTGGTAAAATGTACCAACAATCACATTTAAAAAAAATACACTTTTTGATATACCATAAAAAAAAAAAAAACAGGTAGCCCATCTGAATTAGGACATTTAGGCTATCCATCTAATAGTAGCCTACCAAAATCTTATTAACAGTAGAAGTAAAATCTTACTGTAGTCTTCAAATCTGGGTACTGACTTACGTTTTAAAATCACAAAGGGAGTTTGGTCCCATCAGGCTAACGTGACAGTCACGACTCATGCAGCTGTAAGGTTTTCTGCTTCTTTTGTTTTTACTCGCGATCTTTACAACACGCATTACATTACGTATTTCATGGCACACTCGTTTTATGCGTATTTGGCGCCACCTATTGTTGTGGGTGTATTATTGACATGTCAAAGTCTAGACCCTGAATATAAGACGACCGCGTTTTTTCAGATGTATTTCCAAGAAAAAAACATCGTCTTATATTCAGGTCAATACGGTAATAAGCTGCAAATTAGGAGTTTGAGGCAAAAGTCGTAATTAATAGTTTGTTAATAGGGAGAATTGGACCTTAAAATAAAGTGTGCCCGAAAATATACTTGCTCAAATATCAAATTGCCATCAAAGCTTGGGTTTGTGTATGAGAATCTGACCACATTGGTTCATCTACATGGAAAGGTAAAGGCTGAATTGTTGGCCTGCACAGCGATGTGTAATAGTTGATGGATTGCCCATGTGACTTAAGTCCTGGTGTTCTTGTGCACTGTGTGAGTTTTTTCTCCAGCACTTTTCCTGACAAGAATGTTGTCTGAAGAATTAGCTGACATCACAGCACTTGTCTGTTTTTGGCTCATGATGAATGTGCAACTCCACCTCACATGGATGTCTGTCAGCTTCAGGCAGAACTTGGATGAATTTTGTTATATTGATGGAATGTGGATGCCTCATCATTTTCATGTGTTTTAGCCAAGCAGACCTGAAGGTGGCTCAGTAGAGGATTAGTAAAGCATCATATTCAGCGACCTCTAAGGAACAAGTTTGCACATGCCTAGATGAGCCAATTTACTCAAAGTCTTCTGTTTGTTTTGTTCCTTTTCCAGATTTTGAAATGAAGAAGGACATTGATACTCTAATAGCTGAAGAACGGGCTGAGATCATCAAAAAATATGAGAAGGCAAGTTACATCCTTTCAGTTGTCTACCTTCTGACTTTCTGTAGTTTTGATCTTTGTCCGGTTCAGCCGATGTCCAGACAAGGGGAAACTGGTTAATGATTGTCCATGACCCTCAGTGACATGGACAGCAATGCATACTGACAAAGTACTCCAAGTAAAGTAGTAAGTGGTCATTAATCAGATCAGATGCTTTTGCAGTACACGCAGTCCTCTTGGAGATGCCAAGATTTGGGGTACGCCACTGCTTGGAGTAGCCTAGGGTGTATTGTGTATTGCTCAAGGGAATGATTGTGATAGCTCATGGATCAACTATCCCAGATATTTAACCACTAGACTACACCACCCAAAAGTTACTGCAGTTTGCTGTTCTTGGCAAGGAACAGCTTTCCTTAGAAATGCTGCACAAAACTTATGTGAGAAGTTCTTGAAATGCTGATATACCAATGTTATTATGATTGGTAGGTAAAGGTTCATGTTGTGGTAATTTTTTGGATAGATTGTGGGTGAGTTTGCCTTGCAGTCATGACTTGGTTTTATTTATAGGTACCACCTATGGAAACTTTTCAGACAGGCTTCAGATGCATAAAACGTCTAATGATCTAAAACAGGGGTGTCCAGTCTTGCTGAGTGTAGTTCCAACACACTTACCTGGAAGTTTCTAGTGAGTCTGAGGACCTTGAGTTGATTAGCTAGTTCAGGTGTGTTTAATTAGGGTTGGAGCGAAACTCTGCAGGACAGTGGCCCTCCAGGAACCGGTTTAGATGGCCTTCATCTGAAACTAATTCAAATGAGATTTAGATAAGACCAAGTTCAAATGTAAATATCTTGTGACTACAATGTGTGTTCCTCTGTATTAGTTTCTTCTGCTCTTAATTGCTCCATCAGATGCCATTTTTATTGTGTGTAAACTGCACAGCACACACAGGGTTGTGGGATATCATGGACACTGAAGGTATACATCTGTGCTGCACACTGTACATTTCAATATGTTAACGTTACTTGAAAAAAACCATGCAAACATATTGCCTCAGAAAAATCTAGTGAAGGTTGCTCATTATATTAGTTCATGCAGAAGCCAATTTATGAAAACTTGAATATACCATGTAACCTTAACTAGATTTTTCTGAAGCAATAAGAGGCAATAAGTGTATTCACAAAAGCTTACCCAGAAGAAGGCCAGATCTTAGTAGACAGGATGTTATGTGAACATTGGACAATCCTTTGTGCCTTCATGCTTCCATATACAGCTTGCAAAACCAGCAAGTTTTAGCTTTCAGACACAGCCAAAATCTTTTGAGGAGGAAGTGTTTTGACGGACAACGGCTGGATGTCATGCTAACATTGCTGCTACACTCAAATATTGACTACAGTCTGCATACTTGGAAGTTCTCAGCGTACTTCAGATACCTTTAGATAAGGCTGTGGAGCTTAGACAGATAAGATGTTCAGGATAGACCGAAATATAATCTGTTAGCAGAAATTGTAGATTCTGGGGGTTTCTTGTATCAATCTATTTTGGAGATCTGAATTGTTCTATACAAGAAGTGGGGTGTTTTCAAATGTTCTTTCTTACAAGGAATAGACTAGTTAACCCCAAATAAAAATTTGCTGAAAAATTTATTGACCCCCAGATCATCAATGATTGTTCATGGTAACAGAGTTAGATCAATTTAGCATCACTTGCTCACCAATGGATCCTCTGCAGTGAATGGGTGCCGTCAGAATGAGAGTCCAAACAGCTGATAAAAACATCACAATGATCCACAAGTAATCCAGGCTCCAGTCCATTAATTAACATCTTGTGAAGTGAAAAGCTGCATATTTGTAAGAAGCAAATCCATCATTAAGGCATTTTAACTTTAAACCATCACTTCTGGCCAAAAAACAAATCCGTAATCCATAATAATGTTTCCTTCAGTGAAAAAGTCCAAAATCCACATCAGAAGTAATTTAGACTGTTTTTGCTTATAAACGGTGCTTTATATGTGCATATTTCTCTCCGAATTCATACAAGATGACTTTTTCGACTGGAGAAAATTTGGGGAACTTTTCCTTTAAGAGTTCCAGTCATCTCTTGGTTTGAGGGTCTTTTGCCTTTGCTCCAGTTTCTCAGTTTGTTTGTTGGGCCGGTTGCAGGGCAGGCAGGAGGGTGTGCACATTAACCCCTGGGAGGATGCCGACTACAGCATCTACAAGGTCACGGACCGCTTCGGTTTCCTGCAGTAAGTCTCGCCTGTCCTGGCAGTTTTAACACTCAGTCTAGAGAGACGATGACAACTCTGTCTTCAGTTGAAGATTTTAAACGCTCAACAGTTTCATCAGAGAATATGTGCAAACTATGTTATGAAGAATATGGCTTTTATGTGTATTTTGGGTAATAGTTGACTGTGACCGTTAGAACGTGTTGTCAGGATTATTTTTCATAAATCCACAGTAAAATCTCATGTTATTTGAATGAAGCTTCTGATTCATGTAAATATATATATACTATACTTCTGATTCATGTAATACTTGTACAGGTTAAACAATAATTTCCCCTTTGTGATTTGTTTTTCCCAGTGAAGAGGAACTGCCAACACCCACCGCAGCAGAGGATAAGGTGACTTTAGGATATCAGCTTTCTTTGCACCTGAAATTACTGTTAAATCTTTTATGGCAAAATTCAGTTTAGAGAAATTAGCCCATTGAATTATGGTGTTCTTTCTGAATGTCCTCTTTGTTTTATGAATATTTTAGATTTAAGACTAAAATTCAATGTGCTGTTTCCCTAGTACAAACTCCATGAGGTTGAAAGAGAGGAAAAATGGGTTAAGATGGTGAAAAAGTGGGACAAGTACCGCAACAGTGAAAAGGTAACTTATAAATGTGATCGTTCCAGGTTTAACTGGATGAGTCACATTTGAAGCCATTTTAAAATAGTTTGGCTAATCAACTATATTAAAGGGGTCATATGATGCGATTTCAATTTTTCCTTTCTCTTTGGAGTGTTACAAGCTCTTGGTGCATAAAGAAGATCTGTAAAGTTGCAAAGACTAAAGTCTCAAATCCAAAGAGATATTCTTTATAAAAGTTAAGAGTCAACCACACCTACCTAAAACGGCTCGTTCTAACACACCCCCACATATCTACATCACTATCTCGGAAGATTTGCATAACGCCGCCCAAACGTTCACGCAAAGAAAGAAGGCGTAACTTATATTCTCGCTGTAGTATTGTTGTTGCCGCCACCGCCATGTCGTGAAGGCGCTGTGTGCTTCGTTGTGAAAGCGAAACTACTTTGTTTGACCTTCCAAAAGAGGACGATATCTGCTT